ACTAAAAACCACCCCGTTCCTTCTCCTGCACGTCGAGCCGGAGCCCCGGTTACCCGTTAGGTTCTCCGCGACTCCGAATCGGCATCGGCCCTATTGGGCCCCATCTGTGGTGGTCTGATGGCTCTTTGAGGCGCGCGCGGAACGCGACGCGCCGTACGCTCGGGTTACCGGGGTTCCGTCTCAAAGTGTAGGAGTAGAAACGGAGTGGTTTTTAGTCAGTAAGAGTCTGACACTCCCTCTCGCCTCACATGGGCGGGAGAAGTCATTAAAAGAAAATATTGTGCTTTTTTGTTTACCTTCATATTTTTATTATTTGTGCTGGTTTTTATGTTTGGGAATGACGGCTGTTTTAAATTGATGATTGTTTTTAATGGTTCCTTTTTCAAATTAGAGGTATATTAGAGGTAGTTTAGTGGTTTAACTCGTCAAGTACCGGTTTTATAGACACAATTAAAGAACAATAGGTCGCGGTCACCGGTGACCGCTTGGTGTTTGACAGTTTATAAGTGGTTAAATTATAGTAGTGTGGATTTTTTTTTATTTGGAATAAAGACTGTAAGTGTGTTGTGATTTTTTTTTAATATTCAACGCTTCATTCCTAAATATGTTATTAAAGTGCCGGTTAGATGCCGTTTTACGTGGGATCATTCATATCTCTGATTATGCCTTAGATGAACGCAAATTTGTGGTGTCGAATATGAAGGTCGATAACCGATAATAATATGATGATAAAATCCTTACTATATAATATTATAAATCTGAAAGTGAGTTTGTTTGTCTGTTTGTTTGTTTGTTCCACCTTCACGCCGTAACTACTCAACCGATTGCTTTGAATTTTTGCAGGCGTAAAGTTAGAAGTCCGGATTAAATAATAGGCTTTTTAACCCTGAAAAAATTGATATTCCCTAGGAAAAACAAAAGTATTGGTATAGATGGCGCTGTGTGTATTGGTATATGTCACATAGGCTACTTTTTATTATTTTGTGACGCGAGCGAAGCCGCGGGTAAAAGCTAGTATAACATAATTTACATACAATTTTTTATAAGTATGTACGAAGTCATAATAGATAAAAAAATTTAGTGATTAGTGTGAGTTTTAAAATGAATATACATAAGTAAGTTAAAATGAATAAGTTTAATTAGTTTCATACTATTATGTAAATAAAGCAGCATTTGGTTAATTGACCGAATATGCCACATGCTAATAGATCTGAAATTTATTCAAAACAATGATAATAAGGACATTCTATTATCTCAAAACAGCATTTAAGAAGCTTTTATTACAAAATTTAATATTCTTACTTCAATCTATTTTATCGTCATCAGCGTGCTTCGCCGCGATCACAGAAATATTAAAATTAATATATCTGTGGTCGCGATAAATATACAGAATGTTTGGCGCTTGGACCGACACAATTGGCTAAATGCCAACTAGTCAAATTCAATACTTTTTTCGAACTGTCAAAAACGACACTTTTCTACGAATTTTGTACGAGATTGTGTATTGTGACGTCACGTTTTTTTAGCGTCAAACAGCACACTATTTCTTAAATATTTGCAGAAAAAATCCTAAAATGAAGTTGGTCATTAAATCAATTGATAAAAGTGTGATTATTTTTTTTAATACTTTATTGTATTTAACAGTCGAAATAATTTATTTGTTATTAAGGAAAGTACCCAACATTTTCAGGGATTTTTACCCTTTTACCCTGAAATTCTTCGTCCCATATCTGGTGATAATATCTTATACGGGTAGTTCTTTATAACACAGTGTGCACAGGGACCCCATGGGTGAAGTGGTTCGATCCCAAACGGCTCAAACAGTAGTTTATAAATAGTCAAATGGCTTTTAGTTTCTACACTACTACTACACCAGCAGCCTATAAGTGCCCACTGATGAGCCAAAGTCTCTTCTCTGCACTGAGAAGGTTAAACATTAATCACCACGCTTGCTTATTGCGGGTTGGCAATTTCAAACTTATAATTAGAAAAATTTATAAGACCAGATTTCCTCACGATGTTTTCCTTCACTGTTTGTCAGTGGTGTCTAAAATTATCTAGACACCACTTTAAGATTACTTAGAAAGTACATATAACTCAGAAAAAGCCACATTGGTACTTGCCGTTGGTAGGTTTCGGACCCTCATGCGGAGAAGCGGGCGTCTTAACCTCCGAGCCACCACGACACACTACTACTACTATTTGTTTTTGGTACCTATTGCTTGTTGATTTGACATTTATGATAACACAATACGATATTAAGATCATCTATTCTTCAATGGTTATCTATTTTATTTAAATTAATTATATATAAATAAATACTACTTACCGACGATCACCGTCAACACTACAAGTTTCATAGTCCAAGAGTTTCTATAGTCGTGTTCAGTATAGCACAGTCGAGCACACTTCTGATACACGGGACCTATAAACCAGATTTTATACTGGCCCTCGTCATTCTAAACTCAACTTGACACCTTTAACCTCTATAAAATTCTGATAAATATGAGTAAAACTAAATATAAGGGACTCTAAACAGTTACAGGGCTGTATTCTAATTAGTAATATTTTTTCTTTAATATCTTTTGTTGAAGGTTAACTTCAGATGAGCGCGCGGCACCGCGTGGTGAGACTTACCGCGCGGTATAAGATCAATAAGTAAACAAATAGTTTTGTTTACATCACCGCGCAATGCTGCGCGCCGCACTCTGACCCGCTATTTCTTGAATCGCGACGTTCAAGTTCTACAAACCTATTCAGTTGATCCGCGTGAGTTGAGACAGATAGACGCATAGGTTCAGGAAAAAATAGTACTGGAGACGACATAGTTATGTATACAAGGTGTTGTTTTAAAGCCACGTCATTTTCTATGAGGTAACTCGGCTATCGATTCTGAGTCCGAATCAATAAAAAAAAATTTTTCGTAATTATTTAATTACGGAAATCCGTAACTAGCTTTATAACGCGGCTTAACACACACAGACTCAAACACGTCATTGATATTATTCCCAATTCCATAAAACTCTAATAAGAAACATTGCTTATTCTGAAATACTGTCGAACTTAAACGATTTAATATAGCCGTATTTTTAACTATTGGCCCGAAACTTTCTATTACATTGAACCTTTATGACTTCTGTGACATGACCCCGAGAGATGTCACGGTTTCAAAACTACACCTTGTATAACGTTCATATGCCATGCCATCATTCGAATGCTACTACCACACGGGTCCACGCGTTCATCTGAACTTAGCTTAAGAGGCTTAGCTAAAATCCTTATTAGTATTCATCAACATCAGCATCATTTTAAGTGTGGGAAGCCATGCTTCGGAACGAATGGGCCTGCTCGACCGGAGTGATACCACGGCCTCACAGAAGACCGACGTGAAACAACGTTGTGTTGTGTTTCGTCGTGTGAGTAAGGTTATCGGAGGTCAAATTACCACACGGCATCATTGTACACACGGCCACACATTAATCTATACAAACCCAGTATATCCTGGTGTCGCGTCGCATCATTTTTCCGCACATCTAACGTTCAATTTATACTGATTATGCAAAGCTCGATGTGTAGCCGTGTGTACTATGTGGTACAAAAAATAATGTCCCAATTCATCGAGGAAGGCCTATCCCAGAAAAAAGTTAAGTCTAAGGAATTTAGTACAAATAAATTCTAAACTGACTCGTTGGCCGAACGGTTGCAAGTGCGACTACCGGGCAAGGGGTTCGATTCCAGGATCGGGCAAAGTATTACCGAGTTTTCTTTTTAAATCTTAGTAGTAGCACGGAGTTTGGAAATGTGGTATATGGCTCATCCTCTATTACATGGGACTCATAACATTAGTGCTCAAACTCATCCCCAAAAGGCCAGTAACGCACTTGTAACGCCTCTGGTGTTCCAGGTGTCCATGGGCGACGCCGATTGCTTACCATCAGGTGATCCGTCTGCTCGTTTACCGGCTTACGCCATAAAAAAACAAAAAGTGAAAAGTGGGTGTTACCTCTGTGTGCACCTCTGCCTACCCCTTCGGGGATAAAAGGCGTGATGTTATGTTAAATACTAAACAAGCAGTTTCGTATTTGTAGATAGTACTTGTAAGTAGGTGTTACATCTTCTATCTCTACAGATAAATAAAATTGGAGTACTGTTTGTATTATTAACCTAACCGCGTTTAACTATATGTATGTATGAAAGAAAGAAAGAAAAAAACATTTATTTAGCACCAGGCACGATGCAGCATAAATAAAAAAAGACAATCAAGATGTGACAGTGGAAGTAATAAAAATATAAGAGTTGAAAAATTTAAACAGAAGAAATAGAAAGGAGACGCTGACAACATGCCTATGCTAAAAGGGTATAGGGTATATATGAACATACAAACGATACACATACCAAAATAACACTTTACAATTTACGTCTGTCTATCTGTTTGTACTGGCTAATCTATGGAATGGATAGTCCAATTTCTATTGCACTTTTATTGGTAGGTAGCTGATGCACTACAGATTAACATAACGAATTAACGAATGGAGTTTTTGCTCGTTCTTCTCCATTCGAATCTACATTTTGGAATGAGCACCTAGCTTCACTGACGTACAGACTACCAGACTATTATTTATTTTGTATTTGTTGACGTTTCAGAAGTACCAAATTATGGTTTAATTGAAATAAAACTTTGACTTTGACTTTGATATAGGCTACTTTTATTTTGGAATATTGAAACACTAAAGTCTCACTAAAGTTATACCTAAACAAAAAAAGTTAAGTTCTAAAATTCATATTCTACGTGGACTAGCATAAAAATGACTCGCTGGATGTGTGGCTAAACGCAAAATCGAGAGAGAGAGAAACTTTTTTTGTTGGATTTGTTATTATTATATGAGAAAGTATTTATGTAAGAAAAAAAAACCTGAAGCGAAACTAATATTATTTGTGCACTTTTCTTAACTACAACAACCATATCGCTATCCTATAGGCCACTTGCGAGAAGAAATAAAATAACTACTCCTATTCTTTGAAAATATATGCATGATTGGTATATTTTTACACAAAAAAACTACAGATGTTGAAATTCAGTCGTATATCGTCATTCAGTTATATTGCAATGTTTAGTCAAAATTACAATAATTACATCTCATTGACTAGTTAGCCCTAGATTTTGCTCCACTCATCATCAGAGCGGAGAATGTTGGTGTACTGGGTGACAGGCTGGTACGCCTTCAGTTTGGCTTCCTTCTTCAGTTGCACGGTCTTAGGATCGCTGTCTTCACCTTCCAAAGAGAAGGAGGCTCCGTAGTGCTCCGGGAGATCCACGAGACCGTAAGGAGTCATATAGTCGTCGGTGGGTTGGGAAGTGCTCTGTCCACAAAGACCCCTGGTGGTGCTGCGGTGATCATCGGAGAAGATAACAAGGCGGCGGTGGTCGTCGTAAATGAAACGGATGGCTCCGTTGTTCAAGCTGTATACTTGATAATGGTCCTCGACTACGTAATAGTATTCCACGACAGGAATCTTTAAGACATCATCATAATATGTGCTAACATAATTGTCGCTGATCTCCCTTGCGTTACTGGTGACTTCATATTGTATGGTATTAATTTTGATCTCCACATTATACCCCGTTACAGTGCTGAAATACAATACACAGGACCAAATAAGTTTATTTTACTTTGGAAACATGTAATCTTATACATTTTTAAAGCTGAGAAGTTTGACTAAACGCGCTAATCTTCGGAAGTAATGATCCAAATTGTATAATTATTTTTGTGTTCGATAGTTTTTTTAATAAATAATAAATTGAATTTCTCCACGGACTCGTGTCCGTGCCCTTGTCATGTTACAAGTACATAATTGTCATGGTCAAATTTTTTTTTTTATAAATATCTTACATGCTACGCCTACCACTATCACTACACACAATAGTTTATGTTGTTACCTAATTATTATAGTATTATTATCTTAGACTAACCCTACTGAATCAGCCCACCAGCACGATGAACGAGCCGACCTGTTCCAGCAGAAGGCACCCGTTCACGGGTATAACGTGTAGGCCAGCAATCGGTCCGATCAACCATTTCATAGGGAACGGAACGACCCGGCCCACAGCGCCACCGACTGTAGAACATTTAATGTGTTCGATAGTTCATATATTGAGGAAGGCTATAGGCATTATATAACTAGCTTCTGTCAATCGCATTTTAACCGTTCCTGTGGGAGTTTTGGGAAATCTTTAGATAAAAAGTGTCCATATCCTATGTCAGTCTCCTAGTTCTAAGCTACATCCCCACCAATTTTCAGCTAAACCGATTTGGCTGTTCTTGAATAATAAATAATATAATTAACACGACTTTCTTTGTATATATAGATGTAACATTTTTTTTAATGTGACAAGCCCGCCACAACCTCCCAAAATAATCTCCCTAATTCCCGAATACCTCATAATTCTCTAATTCCCCATTCCTAAAGGGCCGGTAACGCACTTGTAACGCCTCTGGTGTTTCAAATGTCCATGGGCGCTACCGATTTTCTTACCATCAGGTGATCCGTCTGATCGTTTACCGGCTTATCCCATAAAAAACTGTGCATTAATTAAAATAACAAATAACTTTTGTTGCTTATTAACGTTTAAAAAGCAATACTTTTACTAACTGGTAGGAAACGTAGACCTCTGCGTCATCATTATCACTGGGTTTTTTAACAAGGAAGACTAGTTTATTGCCGTTTTCTCCTGTCTCATCCACCATAGCAGCGTGCCACGAAGTAGTTAGATTGTAGTTGTAGCTTCTGCCGCTAAATGTCCAGATTTTGTTATCATCAATAGTACAAAAAGCTGCAAGAAAACATAAAAATGTATGTAGCAAAACATTATTTACATTTTCCCTTTAAACCGAATAAATGATTGATACTCACGCAAATGTTGGTAGCCAGTGAACCAGTTGTAGGAACGCTCCCAGTGGGTAATGGGCGTGTAGATAGCCATAGCGTAGGGGTAGTAGGAACGTCCCTCGACATTGTTCATGCGGAACTCTCCATACTTGGTGTTGAATTTGTAGTTGATGTAGTTATCGTAATAGAACGCTTTCGCTTCAATTTCCACTTTACCATCTTCAGTAGCCTTCAGCAGGTCCTCGTCCTCTTCCCAAGTCGTAAAGTGTTTGAAAATATTGTATATTTTGTAGGTGGCATTCAACAGCACAGGGTTAACATCTTTGTACGTCACAGTACCCTTAAAGTAGTCAGGTGCGTGTGCCTTGATGATCATTTTGTAACAATTCCTCTGATAGAAGTTCTCTTGCAAGCATTGCTTTGCTAAAGGATCATTAGATAATCTTTCAGTATATTCCTTGCTACGTTGACCATAACCTTTAAAAATAATATTTTCCGAGTCTCCATACTTGAAATCAGCTTCATATTCTACTTTAATTTCATTCTTCAAAGCCTTCTCAAAATTTAATGGGACTACCTTCGGCTTTACTACTTTGAAAACGGCATTAATTTGCTCATCACCACTAGCAAATACGATAGCTTGAACTTTATTGTCTGCTGCACTATTGGCTAAAGCTGCGGTAAATACAAACTCTTTTTTGTCTTGACCCTCAAATACAGCACTGATGTCAACAATTCGAACTTTAGCATATTCAATTTCCGATGCAACTCGATCAGCTAGTTGTTTACGACGATGCGCACTGTTGGGGGCAATATCAAGAAGTTGATCAGCTGGTCCAATTTCATCATCCCCTTTGTGATCGTATAGAGTATCTGAAATGAAGGATATGTACTTCAGTGAATATAGCTTTAGTACAAATATTCAATGTTTTATTCATGTGCCAAACCAGATTATTATTTTTTTATTTTATTAAAGACGTATTAACTTACCAAACAATAACGTGGAAGTAAAATGTTTGTTTTTAGTTTCCTTAGCTACGTATTTTAATTCAAATTGCGTATAAGAAATGTCATTCTGGTACAGCAAATTGCGAACGTTCGTCAAAATGTCAGAAGCGAAAATATTTTTCTTGAAATCGTTGGAATATGAGTGTCCTTTCAGGTTAAGGCTGACACCAGCAGACTCGCCAATATTTATGTCAGTAGCCAGAATTGGAGTAGAGCGTTTAATGACTTTTGTCGATGGATCTTCAGATACTGTCAATGTAGAATGCATTTTTTGCAAAGATGTGTAGGGAAATACACTCATGTGAATTAGGTTGGCATCTTTTTCCGGAAAATCAATGTCAAACGTTATTTCATTAATCTTCGGTTTAACAGAAAACTTGGCAGGGATGAAGTATTCTAATTTGTTAATAACTCCACTGCTAGCGTAGACTCCACTAATAGTGTCTAAGAAACCAACACTGCCGTCCAAATTTCGGGAATAGGTGAATCTAATATTATAGTGGAGTGAGGGAGTCCTTGCTACGGTAAATTTGGAAGAAGCTTCGCCTTCAATGTTGAACAAACTAGGCTCACTGTATGCATAAACAAAAGGCATACCAGTGGCTAGAGGGAAGGTAACAATAACTTGTTTGCCGATTATAATCTTCGTATATTGTTTCTCATCTCTATTATATAGTCCTTGAACTAATTCAGAAAACAGATTAGGAAGTGCTTTTTCGTCGAAAGTAAACAATCTTTGTTGGTTTAAATTATCAATAAATAATGCGCCTTCAATTGGGTCTCGGTGGTCTCGCTTAATGTTAAGTTCTTGAGCTACTTTCTTCGCAGAAAATTTTAGGTCAGGTTCTGATGTAAATCCTTCGACAAAGAAAAGGTTCTGAAGGTAGTTGAGTAAGTCTCGTACGTCAGAAACGGAAAAACTGATCTAAAAAAAAAAAACGAATCGTAAATACATTTGTGTTTGTGACATTTAAAATCTAATGCAGTGGTGAAATTTATGTATCGGGCACCGTTAATAAAGCCTTATTAAATAAAATTAAGGATCACTTCAATCTGTAATTAATACATTATATAAATAGAAGTTGATGCGATTCTACCTCTATAAAAACTATAAGTGTGGGAGAGCCATGCTTCAAACAACACGTGCGTTGTGTTACGTCGTATGAGTGAGGTTACCGGAGGCTTAATTACCCCAATCTCCTCAAATCCCCAACAATTCTCAAATTCCTAATTGTTGCACCGATTTCAAAGAAAAAGAATTACCCAGTCTTCTTCGGTTAACCCACTGCTTCTTAATCTCAAAGCTGACCTATGATACTTGGGCAGGAAACTGTCACTGCTACCGATGAAAGACAATTCTCTGAAGTGGGCCAGGTCATCACTGGAAATGTAGTCATCAATAATACTGTCGGCAGAGGCACGGTACCCGAATTTTTCCTTAGATACGATACTCGAAACAGCTTGAGCGGTCTTGGCACTGAAAGAATATCACATAATTAGTACACTGCGAAGGGTAATATAGTATGTTGTATGTAAAATGTCCTTGGGATATAAATAGCATTGACTAGATTAGTAACAAAAGTTGGCAGGTATAAAAATTAACGTGAATTTCGTTGAATTTTTTGATTTTATTATTAAAGTTTTAAATACTTACAGCTCTGCAAAGCGAGGGTCCTTCAAATTAGCTGCAAAGGAAATACTGGTTGCTATTACACCACGAACTTGGACGCTTGGGTCATCATTAGTCATATGTGCCATAATTTGCATCATCTCTGCGGTGGGGAAAGCTAAGAAGATGTTCAAAGCCGCAGCGACCCTGACTTCGTATGGTTCAGCGGTGTTCCTCAAGATGCTGAAGAGTGCGGCGCGAACAAATTTGTCCTTCTTGTTGGCCAAAGTTTTTAGACTAATTACCATTTGTGTTCGAAGATACTTGGTAATGGCGACTTGGCCTTCAAAGTAGGGAGCAAAGACCTTTAAGATATCAGGGTGAGCTAAGTTGCCAAGACTTCTAATGTATACCTGAGCCTTGCTGCTGTCATCGTCTTCGATAGCTTTTTTCAGTTCTGAAGCAAGACGAGGAATAACCTTTTTCACCACAAATTGGTTCTGGTTTCCAGAGCGAATGAATTTAGTAGCGGCCAGTAAAGCAGAACTGTTAAGGTACTTTTGTTCCACAACTTCGGGGCTTAAAGCAAGTTCCATAAATTCATTCATGATTGCCTTGTTCGAAAAACTTAGACTGCCAGATACAGATGCAATAACTTGAGCAGCTTCTTCACCTTCTATCTTCTTAGTTAAAATCCACGATTTGAGCTCTTTAAAAGCCGCCACAGTACCTGCTTGTGCAACTGCATCCCGATAGATGGTCCACATTTTACTTTTCGTATTAGCGTTTCTAGCGACTTCAACACTCGCTGTCATCTGAGATAATTGCTCGGAATTCAGTAAAACAATGAAACGAACCAGGGATATAAATTTTGACAAAAAGTTATTTGCGGGTAGATTGTTAGAATCCTGCAGCAGAAGAGTAATTTCTTGGAGTACTTTTTGGGCATTCTCAATTTCTTTTGGGTCATCTTTAAAATATGCATCAGATCCACCTAACCAGCTAGCCAGCAAAAGTGATTGAACATTGCGGATGTTTGCAGACTGTGCCCATTCAGTGTTCCCAATTACCTCCACAGAAGATAAAACGAGACCAACGTAACTGTAGACTTCAGCTTTTTGTTTCCCAAACAAGAGAGGACTCACAAATACAGTGTCTAACGTTTCCGACTTGTAGATCGTTCCCTGTTTACCAGCATGAATTCGAGATTCAGTAGTGTGCTTGATGAACTGTCTTTCATCATCTTCATAAGCGTGTCCAGCTCCCTCTGGGACACCAAAGGCAAAACCAATACGTTTCTTGCAGGAGTTGTAGTTCTTGCTTTTAGTGATCTCGATGGGGTTTTCAGCAAATGATTGCAAGTTACGACGTACTTCCACAGAAATTGGAGAAATTGAGTATAAAGTTTCACAGTCGCCTGCAACATCAGCTTCCGATTTCTTGAAGAGTCCCTGGAAGGTCTTTTTATCGAAGCTGTTGGGGAAATTGTCCACATATCCAAATGTAGATAGATCGACTTGGAGGGCACTGATCAAACCTTTGAGTATGTTCTCATTAAGCGATGATAAGCTAGAAGGTACTTTCAGAGAAAGCACTCGACCTCCATCAACGAAAATTTCGAAAACCTCGTCGATTTTCGGAACAGGTTCGTATTTCAAGTCAGAAGGAACCTCGTTGATATCAAGGACTCCTTGAATCTGGGCGTATAAGGGGTTTTGTAATTTAGCCAGAAGATGTCCAGGAGCCTGGACGCGGATCACGAACTGAGACTTGAAAGCGTTGCCATTGCTGTTGCTATTGTCGAACTTGGTCCAGGTGTAAGTATTAACATCATAGACGTATTCTTTTCCTACTTGCCAGGGCCATTTTTCATTTTCTGTGAGAGGGTTCGAGGTGACAACGGCTGAAATAAAGTACGGGATTAGATAATAATAACTTCTAAATTAATGAACCACTTTACAATAATTTCTACCAGAAGTACGTATGTTTTATATAATAATCAGCATAAATGTTTAATCAGTTTTAATATAACAATTGGTTTATCTCGTGTTGCACGCGTTTAACAACGTACATTTTTGTTTTCGCATTCAAGTGATAATTATCAACAGCAACTTGGGTAACTTGAGTTTGAATAAAATGAGTCAATTCTGTTTTAGTTAGCTTTTTTATTTTATTGCCTTCTTTAGTTTTGATTTTTGCCTTTTTTGGTTTTGTTTCTTTCTTTACATGGTTTTAACATAATACCTATAGTATAAATGGTTCTCTATTATATGTTTTCCGATGAAAATATTACCTAGGTATAATTTAATATAAAAATGTTTTAAGCTCTTTTAACAAGGTGAATAAAAGAGTAGAAATAGAATCCCCCCATTGTACGTTCTACTGTCTTTGCTTTTGCAGAAAAGAGAGACAGGCGTAACAATTTGTGCATGTCATTTTAACCTCTGAGTTATTATTAACCATGAAGATAAGCTAATGATAAAAATATTCAGAACTAGCTACTGCCAGCGGGTTTGCTCGCGTTTCCGGGGGTAAATAGTGTGTGTGTGTACTCCAGACCATAATTGACCCCTGGTCCTTATTTCATCCCGGTCTCTCCAGCCGTTTTGCGTACGGTCCGCAGTAGGTTGCAGAGCTAACAGTCGACGAACTTATATTTGCGTTTGGTACAGTAACTGTGTTTAGGGACAAACACAATTAAGTTTGTTTTTTCGTGTATAAATTTTTCGGGATAAAGTATACATAACATACCAAGTTTCATGGAAATTGGACCGGTAGTTTTTGCGAGTTGCGTGAACATACAGACCGACAGATAGACACGCATTATTATATTTATGTATTTATCAAATCATAAATGTGGATATTGATAGGTTAACTGTTTTTATCAAATTTACTCCATTCTGATACAACTTCCAAATATGCAGTTTAAACAGCGAGTGTATATGAAATTACAAAAGGTTGGTTAGGTAGAAAAAGCGTAAAATGCGTTTGACGCACGTCCATGGGCGGCGCTGATCGCTTACCATCAGGTCTACTCGTGTGCCTCCTATTCCATAAACATAGACAACGAACCAATGAACAAATTCCTACTTTCATAATTATGTGTTCAAACAATTACCAAATATTACTGGCAATTTTTGTCTGTCTATATATTTGTACTGGCTAATCTCTGGAATGGCGTGACCGAATTTGACGGGACTTTTATTGGAAGGTAGCTGATGTATGTACGAAGGAGTAACATAGGCTACTTTTATTTTGAAAATTGGAGCAAACAAATATTTATGTCCTAAAATTCATATTCTACGCGGACGAAGTCGCGGGCAACAGCTAGCAACAGCAGCAATAGCTAAAATGTTCGTTAAAATATTTTCAAACATTAAGCAATCTTTATATAAATAAAATAATGACAAACTTAAATAAGTACTAAATATTTCTTTTCACTATATCCACCCAAAGGTTGTCTGGTAGAAATCACTATAGTGATAAGACCGCCTTTGTGCCCATTATTATTTTTCTTTATGTTTGTCATTTCCTTTTCTGTATGTATCTACTATATTATTAATGGTGTACAATAAAGTTATATTCTATTCTATTCTAAGTACCAAGAAAATATATAAACAAACAATGACATATTTTTACGAGACTTTTTTATTATAGATATATTATATAACACAGATATTTATTTTTATGAGACAGAGAAGCAATTATAAAAAAATACTACTTACCGACGATCGCCGTCAACACTAGAAGTTTCATAGTCCGAGAGTTGCTGTGGTCGTGTTCAGTGTAGCACAGTCGAGCACACTTCTGATACACGGGACCTATGGGCCAGGTTTTATACTGGCAATCTTCAACTTCAACACTTAGGTTGAGACCCATAACCTTGCTACCATTCCGATAACTTATAATGGCATCAAATATGATAAATACCCAAAATATTATAATTCAAGTCATTGTTTTGCATTATTATAGTCTTTTATTTTTCAAGTAAGAAAGCTTAAGCATAATCACGCCTTTTATCCCCGAAGGAGTAGGCAAAGGTGTACATTACGGTACGGAATGCCACGAGGTATATAATGTAACACCCACTTTTCACTATTTATATTATGAGTACCATGTAGAGGGTGAGCCTATTGCCATATACCGGGCACAATTCCAGACTCCTTGCTACTATTGAGATTTTTTTTAAACCCAGTATACTTTGCCCGACCCTGGAATCGACCACTCGGCCAACGCAACGAGGCAGTTAAGTTCAAGTAAGTAGTATGTAAGAATGTATAATTTTATTTTGGGAGTACAAAATCATCAAATGACTCTTCATGACCTGGGTTAGGTCCCATCTAACCAAGGAGGTAGAGTCAAACTACCATTTTAGAACTCCTACTCCGTGCCAGGCCTCCAGGAAGAGACTGGTACCCAAATTTGTGATCAGAAAATCTAAGTAAGGCCGGCCAGTGAGTTAATGAATCACCTGTCCCCTAGATTTGTTAAACTTGTTATAGCATCATTTTTGTAATATAAAAATCGGGCTCTATTGCAAAAACTATTTGTACATTCAGTTTTCTATTATCTCGTTGGAGTGCTTCGATGCCATCTAGCTCATAGCGCAGCTGTCAATAGGAACGAGTTTTGAATTCTGCTAGTCCTTTTTTTGTATTGAGGATCAAACTTCTCGTCATCACAGCATTCCTTAATAGTATTTATGAGAAGTAAATCTTCTGCTCTCAAAAAAATTTAAAAACTACTTTTTATTCAAGGATTTCCCGAAAATCTTACGGGAACGGGAAAAAACGGGATTGCGCATTTTCATTTCGTTCGCGCAATCCCGAAGTTTTGCGAATAGTTTCCGAAGTTACGAACAGAAGTTAATTTAATGTAACACTCGTTATTAGGTATGTAATTTTTTGTTAGTTATGGTTCTAAAGAAATTATTCCTTTCTGACTTATAAACGGGACCTCATACTCAACCAAAAAAAAAATTTGTAACCACTTGGGCAACTTGGGTAAACGTTATACATATCTTTAAACTAGCTTCTGTCCTGGACGTCGAACGCGTAATCCCGTTTTCCCGCTCTGAAAAGGTTTTCGGGAAATTCGTCAATGAAAAGTACCCCATGTCCTGTTTCTGGTTCTAAACTAGCCAAGTTCTAAATAGCTTCGCGTGAAGTCGCGGACAAAACCTAGTTTTTGGTTATAGAAAAACATAGTTTAAAAGAAATCTTTTAATTTTAAACACTGGGTACATCGCTATATCATTAGGTCATAAATAATCAATTAATAAATACAGTTCAGGATTATTTTCAATACATACAAATACCTACTGAATTCTAACGACATTATACTACTATTGGTTTTATATATTCAGGATTTTACGTAACATGATGTCAATAACAACATTTTATTAAAACACATCAATAAAATTAAAATTTGTTCTTGATTATGTTTGTGTAATACATAATAGAATCAGTCATTGGGTAGTATTTATAGTTTAAATAATCAGTTAATTTGCAACAATTATTGTTTACTAAAAAGATCACCACTCAAAACTTTGTCTATAAACTTTAAAAGATTTCGCTCCTTTAACAGATTCATTCTTGATCTTGCTCCACTCATCATCAGAGCGGAGAATGTTGGTGTACTTGGTGACAGGTGATACGCCTTCAGCTTAGCTTTCTTCTTCAGCTCCACGGTGGAAGGATCAATGAATTCTTCCTCCAGGGAGAAAGATGCTCCGTAATAATTAGGAAGGTAGACCACGCCATAAGGAGTGATGTAGTCATCGCTAATTTGAGATGTACTCTGTCCACACAAACCCCAGGTGGAGCTGCGGTGGTCGTCAGTGAAAATAACAAGGCGATGGTTGTCGTACAAGAAACGAACTTGTCCATTGTTTATGCTAAAGAATTCAATGTCCTCAGCAATAGTATAGTATTCTAATAGAGGTGCATTTGTTACATAATTCCAATATGTGGCGACGCCGCTGGAACTTAGACGTGTCGCATTTGTTATAACTTCAATCGTTTTCGGCGTGATTTCAATTTCCACGGCTTGGCCGACTGCAGTCCTGAAATTAAGAATGAAATTAAGCGTTTTAAAATACCAAATACATTTAATTATTTACTAATGTTATTTATATTTCGTTTTAAAGAGATTTGTAGAAGTCCTGCGAAGAGGAGTGTATCATGAAAATATATTTCTTCTACCTAGTTGGTCCAAATTAGGTTTTGCTGTAAATCGAATCTAAAGCTTTAGGTAACATATTCAGCTAATTGCAATATTTTGCATGACTCGACTCCACTGGCTACTCAGTAATTTCAGATAACATCAAGTTCTTAATCATCATAATCATAATTAAAGTTCATATAACAACTACTTGTCTGTTGTACAAAAAAACGATACTGCTAGAAAATAAATTACTTACTTGTACGAAACATAAACCACTGCTTGATTAGCTCCTTCTCTTCTTATAAGAATTACTATGTCATTGTCAAATTCCCTGGCCTTATCGACCATAACCACGTGCCAAGCATTTGTCACGCTGTATTCATATTCACGTCCGCTAAATGTCTTGATTTTATTGTCATCCACGGAACAGAAGGCTAAAATATTAAAAGATTTCATTAAAAAAACTCTGCCTCGTTGACTGGGTGGTCGCAAGTCCGGCTGCCTGGCAAGAGATTCGATACGCGGGTCGTGTAAAGTATAATTGGATTTTTTTTTCAAAAATTCAGTAGTGGGACGGAGTTTGGAATTGCGCTCGGTATTTGGCAACATGCTCACACCCTTATTACATGGGATTTGTTGGATGGAAAGGTGAGTGATACATTGAACAGTGGCAGTAAGTGTCGTAATGTTCAGCTGTGCCTATCCCTTCGGGGATAAAAAGCGTGAATTTATATTATATTATTTCAATAAAAAAAATCTTGTCTTTAAAGAACAATCTACGAAAATTTATATTCATACTTACGCAAGTGTTGGTAATCAGTAAACCAGTTGCGGGAACGTTCCCAGGCAGATATAGGTGCGTAGTTAGCCATGGCGTACTGGTAATACGGCAAAATCTCCACATTATTCAATTGTACCACTCCATATTTACTGGCAAATTCATAGTTGACGTAATTGTCGTAGTAGAAAGCTTCAGACACAATTTCCAGTGTATTGTTGTTGATGGCCCTAGTCTTGTCTACTTGCACATCCCAATTGTACAAATCTTTAAAATATTCATAAAGTACGTTCCAATTGTTCCAGTCAGCGGGCAGTGCCTTGTAAGATAATGTTCCTTTGAAATAGTCGGGAGCGTGAGCCTTTATAATCATTTTGTGACAATCCTTCAGGTAGATATTATCTCGCTTAGTTTCTTCCAAGCACTGTTTTCCTAACGGGTCCTTTCGTAATTGTTCAGTGTATTTCTTACTGCGCTCCTCAAATCCTTTGAAGTGAATATTGTCATATTTGCCAAACTTAATGTCAGCTTCGTATTTAACTTTGAATTTATTCTTGAGAGCCTCCTCAAAGTTCAATGGTGCTATTTGCGGTTCGATCATCCTGAATACACCATTAATTTGGTCATATGCATTTAAAAACCAAGCTGCGTGTACCTTCTTTTCAGCAAAACTATTAGCAACAGCACTCGTGAATACAAATTCTCGTTTCTTTTTTCCTTCAAACTCGACGCTAATGTCGAGGAATTGTATTTTGGCTGTAGATTCTATACCTGCAGCAGCTCGCTTAACTATCTCCTCATAACGATCAGGTAATGTGATATTTTCCATAGTCTTTGCTGGTTCCATTTCTTCATCCGTACCTTCCTGATTGTATCGTGAACCTATGAACGATATAAATGAGTTTAGGACTATCTATAGCCATTTAGTTGGTGTTTGTAAAGTAATTGTTTGCTTGTAAGTAAATAAAGTAACAACTGCCATAATTATATCTTAATTGTTAGTTATTTGAACTCTTGTATATAAAAACATGAGCTTATAAAACAGATAATTATCTAGTTTCAAAATCTTTTTATAATAACTATCGTGAGACATACTAAATAAACTAAAATCACGGGTAACTCACGTGAATATACTGAGAAAATCTCTACTAGTTTCGAACCACAGAGGGGTTCTTCCTCATGAGCACACTGACTCAGTGAGCTGCGCGACGTCACCGCGGCCGCGCACGCTGATTTTAGTTAATTTAGTTTCAAAATAGTGCAAATCAATACAACATTCTTAATAACTTACCATAGAATATGTTGTACGCCACTGCATTGTTTTGCGACTCTTTAGAAAGGTACTTCAAGTCAAATGAAGTATACGCGACGTCCTTCTGGTACAGCAAGTTACGTACATTTGTAAGGAAGTCAGCATCAAACAAACTGAGTGGCTTCTTGTAGTCATTAGAATAAGAGAATCCGCTAAATTCAAAGACGGTGCCGGTGAGCTCGCCAAATTTCAATGGTGCAGAAATAACCTTTTCTGGACGCTCGATAAACTTAGTTGATGGGTCTTGTAAGACAGTCACCGGTGAATAAAGTTCGTACCGTGAAATGTAAGGCCATACACTCATATGGGCCAAATTGACATTTTGTTCAGGCATCTCGAATTTCAAGCTGAATTTAGTTTTTCCCAATTGGAATGAAGCACTCACTTTCAAAGGAATGTAAAATTGGAATTTGTTAATGACACCTGAGCTTACGTACAAGTTACTATAGGCATCGAAGAAACCAACGCTACCATCCATATTTCTGGCGTATAATATTTTCAAGTCAACGTTTGAATTTATGGACGATTCACTGTCGACTATCCTTTTCAATTGGCTTTGCATCTTCACAACCGTTGGCTCGCTGTAGTCGTAAACAAAAAGCATGCCTGTAGATAGAGGGAAAGTAACAAAGACTTGTTTCTGTCTTAAGAGGTTGGTATGATTAATTTCATTTGGTGGTTTCTCTGCCTCTTTCACAAAGTCCATCAGCAGAGCATCAAGGTCATCTTGAGTGAACGTAAATAGCGTTTGCTGGTTCCAGTTGTTAAGGAAGAAGGATCCTTCGAGATAACAACGATGCTTTGGCTTAATATTTAGTAAGTCAGCTATCTTTTTACTAGAGAATTTCACGCCTTCATAACTTCTTTCAGGTTCCTTAACGAACATCCCATTTAGATAGCTCATCAAGTGTTTCATATCCGAAATAGAGTAGGTGAACTGTAATAAGAGAAATCATTTAATAGTTTAATATACAATTAGTAAATGTTATTATTCACATCCAAAAAATCTAAGTAAAACATTGCTAAGAAAGACTGCTCGTTTGGCGCGGTTTCTGGGCAGCCGGCTGCCGCGCAACGTGTATCGGGATCGATTCCGGCACTGAGCAGCTCTTTGTGTGATCCACAATTTGTTGTTTCGGGTCTAGGTGTCATATGTATGTTTGTAAACGCAACCACAACACAGGAGAAACTCCTAGTGTGGGGCAACGTTCTTTATTTAAACATAAACAAACATAAAGCTAATAAATATTATGTTTACCCATTCTTCTTCGGTCCACCCGGTGCTTCCGAATCTGAGACCTCCCCTTTGGTATACTGGAAGGATGTGATTCTCACTTCCAATAAATGAAAGTTCCCTAAAGTGTGCTGCAACATCGTCACTAGTATATTCGTCAACCAAACTTTCAGTTGAATAGCGGTAGCCAAACTTTTCTTTAGGTACCAGGTACAGAACTGATTTTGCAATCTTAGCGCTGAAAATAGAAACATTTATGTATTAGTATTCTGCCGTCATAATCGGCTACTTTCCTAGGTTTAAAATAAATTGTTTCAACTTTTCAATACAATAAATCATTAAAGAATAATCATACTCCTATCCTTTGATTTAACAATTTACCTACTTTGGATTTTTCTCACTAATTTTAAGGAAATAAGTGTGCTATTAACGCAGAAATATGATGACGTCATAATTGCGATCCAATACAAAATTCATAGAGTATCGTTTTTGACATTTCAATAAAAGTATTGAATTTACCTGTCGACTACCGTATTGTAGATAAAAATGTTCATGAAATGCAGCCATTGTCAAACATACGTAATATGTACATAAGTATTGTATTTCGGCCAACGAGGCCGTCCTGCCTGCATTCCCTGGGTCGGGCAACGTATTACTGGATTTTTAAAAAATTCTTAGTAGTAGCACGGATTCTGAAAATGTGCCCGGTATAAGGCAATAGGGTCACCCCCTTTACAATGGAACTCATAACATAAACAGTCAAAAGTGGGTGGTACATTGTACAGTAGCATAATGTACACCTCTGCCTACCCCTTCGGGGATAACAGGCGTGAATATCATTATCATCATTATTAAACATTACATGATTATGTATATTTTTATCTTTACAAAACAAATACTTACAGTTTCGCAAAACGTGGATCTTTCAGACGAGCGGCAAAAATAATGCCATTCGCCAGTACTGCACGAACTTGTGTGCTTGGGTCTGTGGCTGACATATGCGCCATAATTTGCATCATTTCGTGACTAGGAAAAGCTAGGAAAATATTCAGAGCAGCAGCTACTCTGATTTCGTAAGGCTCAGCAGTATTCTTCAAAAGACTGAAAAGTACAGCACGCACATACTCATCCTTAGTGTTGGCCAATGATTTAAGGCTGATGACCATTTGGATTCGTAAATATTTTGTGACTGGCACGTGACCATCCAGGTAAGGAGCAAAGACTTTTAAAATTTCAGGGTGAGCTAAGTTACCAAGAACTCTTACGTAAACCTGAGCTTTGTTCTTATCGTCGATTTCGATAGCTTTTTTCAGTTCTTCGGATAGACGTGGGATAACTTTCTCCACCAAGAATGAGTCGTCTTCATTCGATGCGATGAACTTTGATACAGCCAGGAGTGCTGTTGTATTTAAGAAGTCTTGCTTCTGAACTTCTGGACTCATGGCTAAATCGAAAAATTCGGTCATAACTTTTTTTGTACGGACACGAAGTACACTGGCCACTGAACTTATAACATCTGCAGCCTCATCACCTTCAACCCTTTTAGACTGTATCCAGTTCTTTATTTCTTGAAAAGCTGTATAAGTGCCTGCTTGAACAACAGCGTCACGATATATTATCCACATGTTATTTTTAACAACGTTTTTCGATGACTTTGCAACTTCAATGCTATTGGTCAGTTGAGCAAGTTGCTCGGGACTCATAAACATAATTAAGCGAATTAAGCTCTTGTATTTCGATAGGAAATCGGACTTTGGTAAAATATTTGGGTCTTGCAGCAAAGGAGTCATTTCTTGGAGTAATTTCTGTGCATCAGCAACATATTTTTCATTAGCCTTTATTATGGACTTAGGATCATACCTAAAGATTAAAGAGTCAACTGATCGATACTCCTCAGATTTAACCCATTCTTTGGAACTTTCTGGCTGAAATGATAACAGATAAAAGCTGACGTAACTGTGAACTTGCGCCTTTTGTTTACCAAATAAAAGTGGATTTACTACAGCAGAGTCAAAGGTTTCAGATTTGTAAATCGTGCCATGCTTGCCAACGAGTAAGCGTGATTCAGTTGTGTGCTTGATAAACTGTTTTTCTTCGTTTTCATAAGCCATGCCCTTCCATACGGCACCTTCAGGGACACCAAAATTGAAGTCAACAAACTTTGCACATGACTCGTAATTTTTGCTCTTAGTGATTTCTATAGGATCTTCTACGAAGTCTTGTAATTCGCGATGCCAATCTGCAGAAACTGGCGCTACTGAGTATAAAGTCTCACAATTACCGGTGACGTCACTTTCCATCTTTTTGAATAAACCTTGGAAGCTTTCTTTATCATAGCTGTTGGGGAAATTATCAACATGGTTGTAGGTTGATAAATCTGCTTGTAGAGCACCAATCAGACCTTTCAACAAATTCTCATTGGGCACAGAGAGTGATTCTGGAAGTTTTAAAGAGACGACACGTCCTCCATCGACGATAATTTCAAATGGATGATCGAACTTTTCAACAGGATTGTAGTTTAATCCAGTTGGCCATTCTTCCTTAGTTACCTGGTCGTGGAATTGTGCGAACATTGGGCTCTCTAGCTTAGCAAGCAAGCGGCCAGGTGACAGCACACGAACCATAAACAGGGCTTTGAAGGAATTGCCGTAACTGTCGCTTTGTTCGTAATTGGTCCAAGTATAAGCTTCCACATTGTACGAGTATTCTTTGCCTACTTGCCAAGGCCATGTGTTGCTCTCACTGAGCGGACCGCAAGTGACGGCGGCTGAAATGAGATTTTATTATTATATTTAACACTCTGCCTATTTCTTTGGTTTAGTTAGGGGTTGCAGGTATAACTACCGACAAAAGCGTATATGAGTATAAATATGGTTTGTTTTTATAATAACTATCGTGAGACATACTAAATTAACTAAAAATCGCGGGTTACTCACGTGAATATACTGAGAAAAGCTCTACTAGTTTCGAACAGCACAGAGGGGTTCTTCCTCATGAGCAGCGTGCGCGGTCGCGGCGATGTCCGGCAACCTAGCCTATGCAGCCTAGGCTGCGCGACATCGCATCTCAGTATATTCACGTGAGTAACCTGCGATTTTTAGTTAATAAATATGGTTCATTCTGGTACTTATATCACTAATCGAAATGAACATAGTGATCAAAAAAACAAAAAAAATTAAAAGATAAATCGTCATAATAGTTTATAGATAAAAATAAAGAAATGATCACAATTGAAAACAATCTAACCATTACTAAATAAAATAACATGCTATTTATGTTTTTCCGTAGGTACTGTTCATCACAAAACATAGTGGTACTTTAATAAATATCTAGTGTGAACAACGGCAGAACAAACAAAGCGATATTTTATGGATAAAGGAGGTTGTTCGTTAGAAATATACTACAACAGGGTTCTGGAATAAGAATATCATACTGTAAGATGTAAAATGTATAAGATTAAACAGAAATGTAACGTTTATACACCACATTTTTTTTAAACCAGCTGTAGCACGGCCCGCCTCATGGTAAGTGGTTACCATGACTTATGAACACTTGGGGCATTTCTTCCATTAAGAAGAATAAATAGAGCTTCATAAAAAGGATGATATACAATCGGCAAAGTTAGCAGTCAACCATCATTAGGCGATATTATACTCGGCGCGAGCGACCACAGGGAAAACGCCCGGTGAGCAGCGAGTTTGCCACGGGATTTTCTTTGAAAAGGGTACTACCGTAACTTTGCTGATAGTAATATGTCTTGGTGGCCTTAAAACGCTTGTTTCTCATGCATTATGGCGCGGGCTCGAAACCTACCAACGGCAAGTACCAATGTGACTTTTTCCGAGTTATATACTTTCTAAGATTATCTAGACAAACGGTGAAGGAAAACATCGTGAGGAAACCAAGACTTATAATTTCTAATTATAAGTTTAAAATCGCCAACCCGCATTGAGCAAGGTAATTAATGCTCAAACCTTCTCCATGTGAGAAGAGGCTTTGGTCAGCAGTGGGCACTTATAGGCTGTTGGTGTGTGTGTAACTTTACCGATAGTACAGGACAAAAAGGTTTAAAACTTACCGATAATCGCCGTCAACACTAACAACTTCATAGTCCCAAGTTACTGCAATATGTCGTGGTCAGAATTGTCTCGTATCTTACACTTCTGAGCACCGAAACTGCATTACCTAGGTTTTTATACTTGTTTTAATCTGACGCTCGTATGGTGACCTTTAATCCCACATCGGTGATAACTGATAAAATCTATATTAAAGTATATTGTTACTTGTAGGTATGTATTTATATTGTTCTTTCACTTTTTGTAAATTGCAGTAGTTTTGAGGTATCGTACGCTGTGAACACATAACATCCTTTTACTCCCGAAGGGGTTTTTTTATGGGTGGAAAATCATCGAATTAAGTACTGCTCCCGCCTGGGTGAGGCGGGAGGGAGTGTCGACTCTTACTGACTAAAAACCACCCCGTTCCTTCTCCTGCACGTCGAGTCGGAGCCCCGGTTACCCGTTAGGTTCTCCACGACCTCCCGAAAGGGTAGGCAGAGGTGCACATTACGGCACTTAGTACCACTGTGCAATGTAACACCCACTTTTCACTATTTATGTGTCCCGTGTAATAGAAGGTGAGGCTATTGCCATATACCGGGCACAATTCCAGACTCCGTGCTATTACTGAGATGTTTGTTACCCTTAAGATAAGGTTACGTTTAGTGTAAAAATTAACCGACTTCAAAAAAAATGACGGTTTTTTCACGTAGCTTATAAATGAATTATTCAATAACTATCCAGTATCCATCTTTGTTTATATTAAGTAATAAATGTATTGTAGGTATTGTTCTTATCACAAAGTGACACTTTCAGGATCATTCGTAAGTTTTGAGAGATAAAAGAGTAATATATCAGTGAAAAAATTATATTTATGTATGTGCGTACATTTTGTTCGTTATAGTAACTGCAAGAGTCAAGAAAAATTGTCTAGTAATAAACCTTTAGAGGCTACCTACATCCTTTTTTTTAACTGTGTTCTAAATAATTTAATTTTGTGAATTACACATGAATTGTTCCACACGGGAATCTATCCTGTCCTGCTACACATTATGCAGCTGGTTGTCCACCCACTGCAGTAACCATACAATCGAATCGGTTTTAACTAGATAAAGAAGATTAGACACTGAAATCACATTAATATTATAAATGTGACAGTTTCTTTGTTTGGATGTTTATCCGTCAATCATGTTGAAACTACTGAACGGATTTTGATGAAGTTTGTTATACGAGCAGAGTATGGGTTGACTTTAGTGATAGGATACTTTTTATCCCGATTAAATGCTCCCATGGGATAAAACAGGAATCATATTCTACGCGGACGAAGTCGCAGGCAACAGATAGCTATATTATATTTATAAATATCAAGTTCACTTGTAACAAACAAATCCACGGCACAATATAGTAACAATGTTCTTCAGAATAAATAACAAACTTAATAAGAATAATCTATCCGACTTTCAAGTGTAAATATAAACTTAGTGATATGAAGTTTTCAATAACAATAGTGACTAGGCAACAGATAACACATTGTACTCAATAATTTTATAATGAGTATAGTACGAAATGTTGTTTAACCTGTTAATTTGTTAATAAATTTGACTGCACGGTTGGCGCGGTGGCTGGGCAACTGGCTGCCGCACAACGCGTCGCGGGTTCGATTCCCGCACGGAACAACATAACATAACATAACATAACATAACATAACATAACATAACATAACATAACATAACATAACATAACATAACATAACATAACATAACATAACATAACATAAAATAACATAACATAACATAACATAACATAACATAACATAACATAACATAACATAACATAAAATAACATAACATAACATAACATAACATAACATAACATCACGCCTTTTATCCCCGAAGGGGTAGGCGGAGGTGCACATTATACCACTGTACAATATAACACCCACTTTTCACTATTTATTTTATGAGTCCCATGTAATAGGGGGTGAGCCTATAGCCATATACCGGGCACAATTCCAGACTCTGTGCTACTACTGAGAATTTTTTAAAACCCAGTAATACTTTGCCCGACTCGGGAATCGAACCCGAGATCCCTTGCCCGGCAGTCGCACAACGAGGCAGTCAACGAGGAACAACTCTTTGTGTGATCCACTTATTGTTTTTTCGGGTCTGGGTGTGATGTGTATGTGAAATTGTATGTTTATAAACGCACCTACGACACAGGAGAAAATCCTAGTGTGGGGCAACGTTTTATAAAAAAAGAAAATAAAAAAAATATACTAAATTCTGCAATTCTTCACCCGCGATTGGCTTAAGTGTTCCAGATCATAATGTGCTCCAAATATCATCTCGATAACTTCAGCTTTCGACGTGACAGAGTAACAAACACTTACATACATCCTCACAATTTTTCACATTTACATGATTAATAGGATATATATTTTTTTTATTATTTTGTATTATTTTGTATGATGTTTATAATTTCTAATTTTAAGTTTGAAATCGCCAACTCGCATTGAGCAAGCATAGTGATTAATGCTCGAACCTTCTCCTTGCGAGAAGAGACCTTTGGTCAGCAGTGACCACTTTTTTTTATGAGACATGCCCGCCACAACCTCCCAAAACCGCTGCAACTCCTGTAAGCCAGGATCTACAGCAGGTACAACCATGAAAACACCGGAACGTTGAAGTCCAGCGCGTCCCAGGGACATGAGTAACTGTCTTGGTTCCCGCAACGAAGTGAATCAGAAGATATTATAAGAGGAGAAGAAGAAAAAACTATAGTTTCCACATAGAGCATTGACCACTTATAGGCTGTTGATGAGGTTGATGATGTTTATTCGTAAATTTTTGCCAAACATCGTCCTATTAGATATAACAAAAAGAAAGAAGGTACTGTGATTCGTTAGAACTGTAACATGCACCTAATTTAACCTAATATCCCTTTCCTACCATGCGCTGCACGTTATCTTTTTGAAAGAGCAGGATCGCCGAATGATGTTTTGTGAACCTACTTAGGTATATTATTCAATATGCCTTTTTTAAGGAAGGAAAATCATCGAATGACTGCTCCCGCCTGGGTGAGGCGGGAGGGAGTGTCAGACTCTTAATGACTAAAAACCACCCCGTTCCTTCTCCTTCACGTCGAGCCGGAGCCCCGGTAACCCGTTAGGTTCTCCGCGACATTCAATGTGCTTAAGTTTTTGTTTAAGCCATACTCTTACATATATGAGAATTATGTGCTTTTTGTACTTTCAACCTTCTAGATCTCCTGGAATACGGTTAGAATTTTTTGTCTACAAGTCAATAAGTTCGTGATAAAACACGATTTTTGGAACTCTTATATGAGATGTATTATATGAGACGCCATGCTACTAACCTCTCGCTCAACGAAGTATTTATACGTCAGCATTAATATTAAACATAACTGTTTTGACCGCGAAGTGAGCCGCACGCACCATAATATGGCCGATCAAACTTTACTCAGTGAAAAAGACATAATAGAAAATGGAACGACAAGTTCTAATCAATCTACTGGTTATCAATATCCTAATGATTTCCTACCAGTCCTCAAGATTATAAATTATTGCGTGTTTGCACTGATTCTTATAGTATTCGTCTACGGAGTGACGTCCTGGTGCCTCATCAAGAAGTTTAGACACTTCAGGAACTATGTCATCCTCAGTGCGATAACCGCGAATGTGCTGAGATATACCCTGACAATAATAAGTTACGTATCCGATGATAAAGTAACACATTTACTATTAAAGCTCCTATCGCTGTGCGCATTTTTATATTCGGTTCTAGCTTACAATTATTGGTTATTAGTGCTATGTTACATATTCTACTCGGATTTCGTCAAAGTTTTTAATCAAAATATCAGTAAGAGGTATTTGAAAAGCAGTTTATTTTCGTGGGGAACGCCTTTGGTGTCGGTTGTGGTGTACTTTTTAACTTTTGTTTTTCACTATGTAGTGAATTCAAGGGACAAAATAACTTATAGGAATTTTATAGTCGCTATGTTGATGATGTTATTGCCATTGGCGATTAATTTAGTAATTTATGTGTTAGTTTTAATGAGTTTATTTCGTAACACTAATACGGAAGTGTCTTCAAAACAAAAAAGGCTGCGGTTTTATGTATCTACGTTAATATTTGTATTGAGTAATACTATAATATTGTTTACTGGTTTTCTTCAGTTGTTACAATTAGATTATGTTATTTTTGATATTTTGGGAGATAGTGTCGAGTATATAAATATGATTGCTTTGACTTTGTACCTGCCTGTAGTAAAAAGTAATAGAGATATGTGGCGCGAGTTTGTAGTAAAGAAATCTAAACAAAAATCTGTGGAAATGAAGTAACGCATCTAAAATCACAATATCGTAAATGTTCTACAGTCGGTGGCGCTGTGGGCTGGGTCGCTCCGTTCCCTACGAAATGGTTGATCGGACCGATTACTGGCCTACACGTCATACCCATGAACGGGTGCCTTCTGCTGGAGCAGGTCGGCTCGCTCATCGTGCTGGTGGGCTGACCAGGGTTAGTGTAAGTGTATAATAATATTATAATAATTAAGTAACAACATCAAGTACTTGGTGTAGTGATTGATATTAGTGGTTAGCGTAGCATGTAAGATCTTTATAACAGTTATTTGACCAAGAAAACAATGTAACTGTAATATGACAGACACAAGTCCGTGGATAAATACAATCCTTACTAATATTATAAATCTGAAAGTGTGTTTGTTTGTTCCACTTTCGCGCCGTAACTACTAAACCGATTACTTTGAATTTTTGCAGACGTGAAGTTAAAAGTCTGGATTAAAGTTTTATCCCGGAAAAATTTGATATTCTCGAGGGAAAACGAAGTTATTGGTATAGATGGCGCTGTGTGTATTGGTATATGTCACATAGGATACTTTTTATCCTTTTGTGACGCGAGCGAAGCTGCGGGTAAAAGCTAGTTTATTAATAAAAAAAGTTATAAATCATGGATTTTTGTGTAAAGTTACTCCGTAAGACTCTTAGTACCTATATAAGGATAAAGCCGTTTTGAAATCAAGTTATGTACGAGGTTAGAAAAACGTTTTTAAAAACCAGTTTATAAGCCTTGGTTTCCGTCCTAACATATATTATTATAACATATATTATTATTATAGTTTTATTCAACTCTATTTGTAAAGTAATGTGTAGATTGATTATTGTACTTGGTTTATTAGATAAAGTTATGAAGATTTTTATATTGATGATAACAAAATAATTACTGGTTTTTAATTTTGTTTGTTAAGAACATTATGTACTATTTCGAAAACTATAATAAATTTAAATTATAGTCACAAAATATTTTGTATTCATTTATGTTTTGTGGTCCTTGAATTTACATATATGTATCTACCTACCTACTAGTTTTAAGAACATAACATCACGCCTTTTATCCTCAAAGGGGTAGGCAGCGGGTGTTACATTGTACGGTGCTATTAAGTGCCGTAATGTTCACCTCTACCTACCCCTTTGGGGATAAGTGGCGTGATGTTATGTAATGTAAGTTATACACAGATTTCTGTGTGTAAAGTAAGTAAAACACCAAGTAATTGGCAAATAATATTTATTTTATTTCTTTCAAACAATTGAAGAAAGGAGCCGAATTATTTATTAATACTTAAATATAAATTTGAACATTTTTTATGGGCTAAGCCGGTAAACGAGCAGACGGATCACCTGATGGTAAGCAATTGGCGACACGCATGGACACCCGGAACACCAGAGGCGTTACAAGTGCGTTACCGGCCTTTTGGGGATTAGGAATTGAGAGAGAGGAAAGAGAAAGGGAGGAAGGGACTACAGACTTTGCACGCAATAATATTATGGACCTAAGATACATATTGGAATACATAATAATGTGATAATATAAGACAATAATATTGTGTAATAAAATAGATTTTTTATAATAAATAATAACTGTCAAGTGAGCATTAGAAGAAAATCACCAAAATCTTAACAATAATTACTAAAAGAGTCATCGCCTTAAGTTCTTAATCTCCGATTATTTTCCCCGAAAATCCACAACATTCTTCATACAAAAGTAGTCTCTAAACATCGAAAATAAGGTCTATAATGGAGTACGTGGAAAACGGTCACTGATTACCGCTTGGGGGCTGGGCAGTTTAACTTGTGGACTAGATTGAGTTTACAATGCTTTGTTTTTCAATATTTTAAATCTTACAACGCTTTGACGGGCTTTTGTATCTTGCTCCACTCATCATCAGAGCGGAGAATATTGGTGTACTTAAAGACAGGCTGGTACGCCTTCAGCTTCGCATCCTTCTTCAGCTCCACGGTTGAAGGATCGCTGAATTCTCCTTCCAGTGAGAAGGAGGCTCCGTAATACTCCGGACGTGTCACCAGACCGTAAGGAGTCAAGAAGTCGTCACGGCTCTGGGATGTACTCTGTCCACAGAGACCCCAGGTGGAACTGCGGTGGTCAGCAGTGAAGATGATGAGTCTCTGTTTATCATAGACCAAGCGAAGGGCTTCGTTGTGGATGTAGAATATCTGAGTACCATCAGCTAAAGTGTGGTACTGCAATAGAGGGATTTTCTTAACGTTCGACCAGTATGTAGTCAGGGCACCTTCAGCCACCTTCAGGGTGTTACTCTTTACTTCAACAGCCGATGGTTTAATCTCTAGTTCTATGTAATCTCCGGCCTCAGTCCTGTAAAAAGAAATAAATTCATTATAAAATTCTTAAGATTGTTTTATTTACCTACTTGTTAAAATACTGGTTGCCTCGCTGGCTGATTGGTCGCAAGTCCGACTACCGAGCAAGGGGTATCGGGTTCGGTTCCCGGGTCGAGCAAAGTACCCACTACTGGGTTTTAAAAAAAATCTCAGTACCACGAAGTCTACGGAAATGTACCCGGTATATAGCAATAGGCTCACCCCTATTACATGGAGCTCATAGCAAAAATAATGAAAGGTGGGTGTTACATTGTACAGTGGCATTAAGTGCCGTAATGTGTACTTTTGCCTACCCCTTCGGGGATGAACGACGTGATGTTATGTTATGTTAAAAGAATTGATTATGGTTGCTTCGACATACAATTCGTACTAATAACAACATTACATTTACGTAAACAAAATCTGCGATAGTGAATCTTATTTTGCAAACAATTTTCTTTTATATTTCGGTCGAAAATGCTGCCCTCGTGAGTCATAATATTACTAGCGATATGGGAAATATACATCGTCTAGAAGTATGACAACAAATGAATTACTTAGCATTATTTTTTTAAATCATATTAGTATTTACTTGTAGGACACGTAGACTTCCGCATGGTTCTCACTGGGTCTTCTGGCAAGGATGACCAGGTCATCATGGTGCTCATCGACCATCACTGCGTGCCAGGAACTAGTCAGGTAATACTCGTAGCTACGGCCACTGAACGTCCACACCTTATTGCTATCCAAAGAGCAGTACGCTGTTGAAAGAAAAAAATAACATCATTATTAATTTCTTTAATGTGGAAAAATCATCGAATGGCTTCTCCCACCAGGGTGAGGCAGGAGGGAGTGTCAGACTCTTGTTGACTAAAAACCACCCCGTTCCTACTCTTGCTCTTCGAGCCGGAGCTCCGGCAACCCGTTAAGTCCTCCGAGGTAACATATGAAATATCAAATGATAGGTAGTATAATTTGTTGGACCTGTGGTCGAATCCTAAACTTCTTAACTAATACCCACATTTCCAACTATAACGCATATTTGCAGGGATTGAGAAAAGTATGCCTCGTTGGCGGGAGTGTTCGCAAGTGCGACTGATTATAATTTACGAGACCTGGCATCGAATCCAAAACTTCTTAGTTGAATACCCACATTTCTAACTACATACTTTTCTCAACCCCCGCAAATATGCGTATATTTGCACTTACCGGGCAAGGGGTCTCGGGTTCGATTTTTGAGTCGGGCTAAGTATTACTGGGTTTTTAAAAAAAAATATAGTATCAGTAGTATCACGGAATCTGGAATTGTGCCCGGTATATGGAAATAGACTCACCCCCTATTACATGGGAACTCATAACATGAATACTCAAAATTGGGTATTAATTTGTAGTGACATTAAAGTGCCGGAATATGCACCTTTGCCTTTGAAGGGATAGCCCTTCGGGGATAAAAGGCGTAATGTTATGTATGTATGTGAGAAAAGTATTTGTCTATAAATCAAAATATACTCACGCATGTGTTGATAGCCATAGTAGACATTGTACGCGCGTTCCCAATCAGAAATTGGTGCGTAGTAAGCCATAGCGTAGGGGAAGTATTCCAAGGCTTCCACATTCTTCAAGTGGAATACTCCATACTTAGTCTTGAATTCGTAGTTTACATAATTTTCATAGTAGAATGCTTGTACTTCGATTTCCATTTTACCATCGTCAATTACCTTAAGGAAATTTTCTTCGTGATTCCAAGAATAAAATTCCTTTAATATTTCATAAGCATTGTAAGTCGTGTTCCAATATTCTTGTTTGAGGTCCTTATATGAAGCAGTATACTTGAAGTAGTCAGGGGCGTTTGCCTTGATGATCATCTTGTAGCAGTCCATTTGATAAAAGTTGTCTTTACTGATTTGTTGCAGGCATCGTTTCGCCAGCGGGTCATTCTTTAACTGTTCAGTATATTTCTTGCTTCGCTCACCAAATCCTTGGAAGTGAATATTATCATAACTGCCATATTTAATATCTAGTTCCGATGTTACTTTAACCTTGTTCTTGAGAGCCTCTTCGAATTTGAGAACAACAATTTTAGGTTTATTTCCTTGTAAACTATATTAAATTGTTCTAAATCTAACGGCTTGAAATCAATGAAAAATGCTGCCTGGTACTTATCATCCACAAAGCTGTCAGCAACAGCGGTCGTAAATACGTACTCAGCCTTTTGTTTTCCATCGATAACAACACTGAAGTCATAAATTTCCACTTGAGCTGACACAATGCCCGTGGCAGCACGTTTGACTATCTCTTCACGTCGAGCTTCACTATTAGCCGACACGTTCATTGCAGCCGCTGGTCCCATTTCACCACTAAACTTCTGGTCATACAATTTATCTGAAAATTGAATAAGTAACAATTTATTTGGAAGATTATGATATACATAAATTCATTTAAATATTGAAAAAAAACTACTGTTAATACATTCTATTAAACTTACCATAGAATACGTTGAAGGTGATATCCTTATTATTAGTCTCCTTAGCAATATATTTGAAGTTTAATACACTTAAGGCAACGTCTTTCTGATACAGTAATAAACCAATATTTGTCAAAAAGTCAGCATCAAATAATTTATTCAGTTCTTTTGCATCAGAAGAATAAGAATATCCTTGAAGATGATAGGAAAGACCAACTGAGGAACCTATCTTCGAATCAACAGATATAACTTTAGCAGGCCGTTCAATATATTTAGTAGCGGAGGTTTCTGATACTGTTAATAGAGAATCTACACTTTGCCAGGTGGTGTATGGCCAAACACTCCAGTGCATTAAAGTAGCGTCTTGTTCAGGCAAAACGAAGTTCAATTTAATTTGATTAGGCAATACATATGTATTCAGATTGATGGGGAAGTGAAGTTGGAGTTTATTTATTACACCACAGCTGCGTATTCTTCTTTTAGCATATCTAAGAAACCAAGACTGCCGTCCAAATTTCTCGCATAAGTAAAATCAATATTTTTGTGCACATAAAACTGGTTGCTTTTCTTTTCGAATTGGAATTTCACATTGCCATTAAATGAGAGTATTAAGGGTTCATTGTACTCGAAGTAGAAGGGTACACCAGAAGCCAGAGGGAACGCCACATAGGTTTGTTTATGGTTCAAAATTTTAGTGTACTGGACATCGACACCCTTCAACAGCTGTTCCGCATTCTGAATTAGCCCAACAATAAAGGCTTTAAGATCTGCCTCGTTAAACGTGATAAGTTTCTGTTGGTTTAGGTTTTCAAGGAAAATTGAGCCTTCCAGTGGATCCCAAGATTTGGGTTTAATGTTTAGCTTTTCAGCAAGTTTCTTGGCTGAGAACTTTAGATCAACGGTGGCCTTCTCTGGTTGGTACATCATGTTTACTATGTACTCTAACAACTGTTGCACTCCAGTTACAGATAAAGTTACCTGAAATAGATAAACATAAATTCACCTCATATTGATTCTACCACGATTTGAAACATAAATAATATATATGACATGTTTTTGCGAAATTAACACCGACCTGGCTCTCTTCAGTGGCACCAGTGCCCCTGGACCTCAAGGCCGACCTGTGATAAAGAGGCATGTAGTTATCTTCACTGCCGATGTATGATAGTTCTCTGAAGTACGCGATGTCATCATCACTCGTGTACTCATCGATGATGCTGTCTGTCGATAGGCGGTATCCGAACCTCTCTTCCGAAACTAAGTATTTGACGGACTGGGCGGTTTTAGCTCTGGAAAATGAAATAAACGTAAATAGATTTTATGACTCCTATTTGTAAAAAGAATTAAAATTACTTTTGTCATATTCATCTAGTTACTAATAAACAAAATTACTTACAGATCACTGAAGCGAGGATCTTTCAATTTGGCCGCGAAATTAATGCCATTGGCGAGGACTGCTCGCACTTGTGTACTGGGATCAATGTTCGTCATGTGTGCCATCACTTGCATCATCTCAGAACTAGGAACAGCCATGAAAATATTCAAGGCAGCAATGACCCTCACTTCGTAAGGCTCAGCAGTATTCACCAAAATGCTGTAAAGTACAGCTTTTACATTCTCGTTTTTGGTATTTGCCAGCGGCTTTAGACTAGCAATTATTTGAATACGAAGGTACTTAGATACTTTAACGCTGCCGTCCAAATAAGGAGCAAACACTTTCAGGACAGCCGGATGGATCAAATTACCGAGAGCTCGGACGTAAACTTGTGCTTTATTGGAATCTCCAATTTCTACAGCCTGTTTCAATTCTTTGGCAAGATGTGGAATAACGGTTTCCTCAACAAACACGTGTTCTTTACTGAATCGCATGAATTTAGTAGCTGCTAACAGAGCAGAACTATTTAAAGATGGCTCCTTCATAACTTCAGGGTTGGTTGCAAGATTGAAGAATTTCGTTTGGACGTCCATCGTAGGGTAGCGAAGAGTAGAGGCAATAGCAGAAATTAACTGAGCTGCTTCTTCTCCTCGTACTTTTTTCGACATTATCCATAACCTTATTTTTTCAAATGCAGGAATGGTTCCTGCTTGCGCGACGGCGTCTCTATAAATTGTCCACATACCAGCCTTAGCGATGTTCTTCGAGGACCTAGCAATTTCGACGCTGCTGGTCAACTCTTTCAGCTGTTCCTTATTGAAAGAAGCTATCAAACGCACAAGCACGTTGAACTTTGAAAGGAAGTCAGCTTTTGGTAATTTATCCGGTGTTTGCAGTAAAGGAGTCATATCTTGCAGTAATTTTTGAGCATTGGCGATACTCTGCTCACTAGCTTTAGGGACGAACATAGATTCAGTCATTGTTAATATTAGGGAATCAACTTGGCGAACTTCTTCAGCTTTTTTCCACTCGTCGTCGCTTGCCCATTGAGCGTATGAAAGCTTGACATTCACATAACTGTAAACTTCGGCCTTTTGCTTACCATAGAGAAGAGGATTAACGAAGACGGAGCTTATGGTTTCTGATTTGTAAATAGTGCCTTTTTTACCAACGACATAGCGAGCTTCTGTCGTGTGCTTGATAAATTGCTTTTCTTCGTTTTCTGTTGCAATTCCATGCCAGAGTGCACCTTGTGGTACACCATAATGGAATGCAGCGTATTTCTTGCATGAACCGTAGTTGTTCTCTTTTATGACCTCAAAAGGATCTTCTTCTAAAGTGGATTTAGGTAGTTCGTGGTGCCAGTCTACAGAAAGAGGTGCAACAGTATACATGGTCTCACATTCACCACTGACATCAGTTTCCATCTTCTTGAAAAGACCTTGGGATGTCTCTTTGTCGTAGCTGTTGGGGAAATTCCGAACGTAGCCATTAGTGGATAAATCAACTTGAAGAGCGCTGACCAGACCTTTAAGCAAGTTTTCGTGAGCGATGGAGAGAGTTTTAGGGACACTCAATGATTTCACCCGACCTCCGTCAACGAAGATGTCGAAAGCTTCATCAATGATCTGAATCGGTTGATACTTGATGTCGGAAGGTATTTCATTGAATGAAATTTTCTCTTCTTCAAGCTTTGCATACAATGGTTTGCTCAGTCTAGCTAAGAGATGACCTGGTGCAATCACGCGGACAAAGAACGATGTCCTAAAAGCGCTGCCAATGTGCTTGCTGTTGTCGTAGGCAGCCCAGGTGTAGCTGTTGATATTGTAGACATAGTCATGGTTGACTTTCCAGGGCCATGTGTCGGTCTCAATATGAGCAGACGATGCTACTGCGGCTGAAACATGAAAATAAAGATGGATAGGTACCAAGAAGTTTTTGCCCAAACTGTTGTACAAAATACATAACATAGGTTGTGTTTTTATAATAACTATCGTGAGAAATACTAAATTAACTAAAAATCACCGGTTACTCACGTGGTAAGAAAAGCTCTACTAGTTTCGAACCACAGAAGGGTTCTTCCTCATGATGACCCTCTTCCGCGATGTCACGCAGCCTACGTAGGCTGCGTGAAATCGCCGCGACCGCGCACGCTGCTCATGAGGAAGAACCCCTCTGTGGTTCGAAACTAGTAGAGCTTTTCTTACCATTACACGTGAGTAACCCGCGATTTTTATTTAACATAGGTTGTCTTGCGATTTTACACAAACATTTCGTTTCTAAAAAATTATTGGCAAATAGAAACATAAACAAAATCTCTTGGAGCAATTACAAATACCTGTTGCCCGTGACTTCCTACGCGTACAATATGAATTTTAGGAAATACTTTAAACTATTTTACTAAACATTTTATGTTTAAATTATTCAAAAAAAAAATGTAGCATATGCTACTCTTTACATCAGCTACCTGCCAATAGAAGTCTTGCAAAATCGGTCATGCCAGAGATTAGCCAGAGAGATAGACAAAAATTGTAAAATTGTTGTTTTGGTACGTGCATCGTATGTATTTTCATTTGCTTGGAGTAAAAAGCGGTTGTTTTAATATTACAAACAGGCACTTCAATTTTATTTACCTGTATAGATGCCATAATCAAATACAATTATGTAATTCCAATCAAATACCAATGTGACTTTTTCCGAGTAATATTTACATTCAAAGATTATTGAGACACGAATGACAAACGGTGAAGGAAAACATCAAGAGGAAACTTGGGCATATAATTTCTAATTATAAGTTTGAAATCGCCAACCCGCATTGAGCAAGCGTAGTGATTAATGCTCAAACCTCCGTGTGAGAAGAGGCCTTTGGTCAGTAGTGGCAACACTTATAGGCTGATGATGTGATTCACGAAGGTAACACCCATTATTTTTCACTGGTTAGTGGTTATGTTATTAGTCCCACCCCGCTTAGTAGTAGGGGAAAGTCCCGTAACGCCGGGCGACACCTAACGCCGGACACTTGTATTATCTTGATAAAACGAGTGATTCAATTTTTAATAAAAATCTTAGAGACTTCCCCCTACAAATTGAATCGCTCGCGTTATTAGTTATTGAGATAATACAAGTGTCCGGCGTTAAGGGACAGATGTTTCTTTTTTATGTTTTCAAAGGTTTGTGTAGGTGCGATATGCGTTTAGGTACACAAACACACATCACACCAAGACCCGATACGAATTGCCAATTAACCATACTACAAATAAAATTACTCTGTGTGCAAATTGAATCTATGACAGAAGATAGATACTGAAAGGCTATATATACTTAGAAATTAAGTATCATGACATCTCTGCCACTTTGCAAAGAATTTGTTGCGACTGAACTATATTTAAGCCCGAAAAATTGAGCAACTTTTGAGTAATTCAGTGTCAGTAATGCAATATTAAACATATAATATTTTTACATGACAATGTAATTCATAAAATACATCTATACATAAATAATACAATCGTAGGAAAGTGAAAAATTTGGGCGTGATCTACAGCCAATACCGAAACCAAAAATATAGTTTCTAGAATTTTTGTCTGTATCGTCTGTATGTACATATATCCGGAATGAACCCAAAAAGTACTACATGAATTTACTTCAAATTTTGCACGAATATTACTGAAAGGCCGTGTCAACATATAGGCTACATATTATCATGCTATCAACTACGGGGAAGGAGTTGTAAATCACGATTCTAGCTAGTAATATATATACATTGAACTCACCGATAAACGCCGTCAGTATCAACAGTTTCATTGTCCCAAAACCTTGCAGTAGCCGTGGTCAGTGACGGGGGAACACAGTTCTGATGCGCAGAACTGAATTACTTAAGCTTATATACAATGCATTTTCATACATTTACTTGTCAGCTGACCTATAACCTTGACTGATAACTCACTTTTAAACATCAATTTCTTTAAATACAAAATTTACTTTTGCTATTGTCAAGTGCTATTAAAATAAACAATATCTCTTGTGGCTTGTTCAGTGCACGATGGACATGGATAACCTTAATTGTGTTTATATATCAGTACATTTTATGTTATGAAATTTCGTTTTGGTAATACTTTGTTAAGTCATTTGGATATTACGTCAAGGATACGGTGGCAACAAAAATTATGGTCCAATTGATTTTTTTATGGAAGTCGCCGGTAAATGAACAGACGGATAACCTGATGATAAGCAATGGACATCGCCATTAGACACCAGAAACACCAGATGCGTTACAAGTGTGTTATCGGCCTTTTGGGCGTTAGGAATTGGAGGATTATTAGGGATTCGGGGATTGGGGAGTTTGAGAAAAGAGGGCCTTCGGTAACCTCACTCACACGACGAAACACAACGCTCCGGTTGTTTCACACTGGTTTTCTGTGACGCTGATGGTAAAACTATATATCAACAGATCGTTATATCAATTGGAGAAGAACGAGCAAGTACTCCATGGTGACCCCTTTTTAATCAGTTTTACAATAAAATTCTAGGTTACAATATTATGTTGGTTCAGTTACGTGTGAGATAAAGAAATAACTAACCTTAAGAACATTAAATACATTATTACAATATAGAGCTGAGTAGTCCTAATTGACGGCGCCTGTACACGAACTGGACACGCAGAGCACCGGACAACTGAACCAAATTGCAAGGAAACGAACGTACCACCGCCAACGAGGCCTTTAAGTGAACATGACAGCACCAAGCTGATATAAATAATTCTTGTAGTCTAATTCAATAATAAGTGGTTATAGCGACTGTCATTTACAATTAGCTAGTAATATTTATATACCGAGTTTTTGAAACACTGTAACAGCCTCATAATTATTACGAATATGATAAACTATAATTTTAATTATTCACCAGATTTTTGGGCGAAATTATTTCATACATGCTTTATCTGCAATGGTAGCTACTATTTTTTTTTAAATAACCTACATAAATCAAATTAGAATAATATGGAACAACTGGCCCCCAAGCATTTCTATCCTCTACTAGCTGTTGCTCGCAAATTCGTCCCTGTAGTCTTAGAACGTAACTTTATTTTGTTTCAATTTTCCAAAATAAAAATAGCTATTGTTACTCCTTACATTACGTACATCAGCTACCTGCCAGTAAAAGTCCCGTCAAAATCGGTCTAGCCATTCCAGAGATAAGCCAGTACAAACAGACAGACAAAAAAAGTTGTTTTGGTATAGGTATCGTATATCTAGTAGTAAAAAGCGGTTACTTCAACATTTAGTTTGTAGTAAGCATACTAGGACTACAAAAACCTTTTTCTATATTATCACTATCACTATGCTATAATAGGCCTATAGTGGCTTGGGCCAATAGTGGACTATCATATAAACTGTTATCAATGATACTGATAAAAGTCAATTATACTTTTTTTAACCTGGCATGATCTTTAAACCATTGATAGAGTCCAATTATTTTATTTTTAACAAATGAGTAAGCGTGACACAACATGTGACTTGAATAAACGTGCCAACAGAATTATCTGCGTTACCGTCATACCGTAGCCATTTAGGGGCTTTGCACATGAAGCAACTTAACTTAAGGCAACTATCAACTTTTTAAGAGTTTCCCGTAAATTGTGATCGTTGCTATAGGTAATATTGTTCTCTCTATCTCTCCTCTGTCTTTCTCTCTCTCTCTCCCCTCTCTTTCTCTCTCTCTCTCTCTCCCCTCTATCTCTCTATCGTTCTCTCTCCCCTCTCTTTTCTCTCTCTCCCCTCCATCGTTCCCCTCCCTCTCTCTTATTTACTCTCTTCTCTCTTTCTCTCTCTCCCTCTCTTTCTCTCTTTCTCTCTCTATCTCATAAGCAATTTTCATAGATGCGTAGCTCAATCTACGCAGTCCGTTGTGATTGACGGTTTAGGAAAACAGCAACTTTGAAAAATGTTACATAATATTTAAGTATTACTGGTAGCGACAATCAGGAACTATCTTAGTTATTGATTAAAGCAAGTGAAAACTGTTGACGAATACCCCGATTAAAATCTCCAGTCCCTATAGTCCCTACGTGTACGCAGTTCAATTGAAATATAGCTTTCAGCAGTTGTCGGTTGTTATTTCTCCATGTGCAAAGCACCTTAGAAATAATATCAACTTCAGACCTCCATGTTATCAATATTTTGAGTGTCATAATATATTATGTTATCACTTTCGCGTAAATATTAACAAACATTTAGTATCACTAGGTAAGTTTTTTAAAGACGTTGATCGAGAGTTTTCTGCGATAAACGAAGTGAGATAAGTATGTAATTCAAATAACAAAGCGATGTTGTATTGTCTTGGCGTTGATATGTACGAGTACTTGCGTTAATTCTTATGGTAGATAGGGGTTACTGGAGGTGCAATCTTTACTTCCATAGGAGAGGCCTGCGGGCGACTGACTAGAGGAGTCAGTCTTCTGCTGTATGGACTCGAGAAGGCGTTAGCGAAGTGGTCCACACGGAGGAAGGAGAGCAGCCTTCCAGGACCGATAACATAACGGTAGCTCGAGGCCTGCCTGGCGTAGTAATTCCACCAACTCGTTACAGCAACCCGGGGCACGGTTACAGACAGTGGAGGAACATCGCATTGGATATTACGTCAAGGATACTACTGCTTACGGTAGCAACAAAACTCATGGTCCAATTGATTTTTTTATGGAATTCCCCGATAAACGAGCAGACGGATAACCTGATGGTAAGCAATCGACATCGCCATTGGACACCCGAAACACCAGACGCGTTTCAAGTGTGTTACCGACCTGGGAATTAGGAATTGGAGGATTATTGGCGATGGTTTTAGTCGATAAGAGCACAAGAATCCAGAAGGGAGGAGGTCCCTTCTCGTTGTCCTCACGACGTGGGAAGTCCATGAGACCAAAACCAGTACCTACACCGCACTTTCAACTCCTCAGTTATTGCATTGGTCTATGGGCATCACCGTTTACCATCAGATGATCCATTAGTTATCTGCTCGTTTTTTTTTCACCCTATCCCATATCACATGTCGCGGAGAACCTAACGGGTAACCGAGGCTCCGGCTCGACCTGCAGGAGAAGGAACGGGGTGGTTTTTAGTCAGTAAGAGTCTGACACACCCTCCCGCCTCACCCAGGCGGGAGCACTCATTCGATGATATTCCCCCCTTAACAAAAAATCCCATGTCACATAGGTAGGTACTTATTTAACTTCCATCACATTCACTGATTATGGCTAAGCGTAGGTACTTAAATTTAAACGTTAAAATAGTTAATAGTCCTGGCTGCGGTGATTAGCTCAAATGTCACTGACCTTACTACGGCGGAATACAACATCTGGCTAAGGTTTTTCAGTAACATTGTTTAAATTGTTAGCAATATACGCTTCCAGCTTCCTTCCTCAATAGAATAAGTAATTTAAATATATCGATACTATAGAATATTATAGTTAAGTTTGTCACGTATTCGGGTAGGTACAGAAAAATATATGTTTAATACTTAATTAGGTTTTATTAAATAATCTAGATGTCTAGAGATGATATAAGAAAGATTGAGCTAATAAAAAGTAGGCTTAATATTTAGATCCAGGTGCTTTCAGTTATTCATTTCTCCGTATTTTTTATCACACTAATATTATAAAAGTGAACGTTTATAATATTAGTGTGATAAAAAATACGTCTATTATTTTGATTTCTACTCACTCTGTAGACAAGCGCTTAAGTGCCGTTTGGCTAAAGGTCCAGCAGCTGTAGCCAAATGCCATTAACGCGTCTACTTGTAGAGTAGAAAACCAAATTATACGGAATTGACGTAAATTTTGACACTTGTCAGTGTCATCGCCATACATTTAGTTTTCTACTCTCTCTGTAGACAAGCGCTAAATGGCATTTGGCTACAGCTGTAGCTTTGATTATAAACAAAATAAAAGACAAACAAATTATAGAATCTTATCTTTAATTGAGCATTAAAATTAACGACAGCAACTGTCTCTTATAATAAAAAACAAGATGTCTGGACATCTTAAAAAAATAATGAGCAAATAAGAGATCTCAAAACGGGAAATACTTATGTAATCCTAACACGAGATTCTTTGGAAAGCATGCATTTGTACATTTTTTAGGAATAACTTAAAATTACTTGACATTATACATACCTATACTAATAACTACATATATATCGATCGATCCTAAATCATTTAACTAAAATGGTCCATATTTATTTAAGAAATAAGATAGCTTTTTGTAAATCTCATACTAATCTAATGTATTTTACAATATCTTACATTATAATTGAGCAAATATAGGTGCAAATGGAACATTTTCTTAAAACCTAGGCATTTATAATATACCGTGAAATCTAGTTCGTTTTCGTTGCGTAACAAACAACTGGTCATAAAGAGTATGTATAAAGTATGAATATGTATAAAGTAAAACAAAAAACTTTTTTTTTTATAACACAAATTCATGGAAATACGCACATGAAACACTAGACGTAAATTTGTAGGCACTATTCGCATCGTACGTGCCACCCGACGAGAAATACCTCTTCGAGAATTACATGGCGCGATGTTTTGATAATGTAGTAGGTACTATGGGATGGTATGCACTTTTGAAGTTTGTTCTTGGCACTAGTTCAATAGTTATTTTTTGTTTTAATCATTTCAGTTTTGTATTACCAAGACAGAACAATTTTACTTCGGAATGAAAACGAAATAGATTTGACGGTGTAGGTATAATTTTAAGTAAAAATTAGATACGTAACTAACATAATAAACTATTTAAGTCGTATATTAA